TGTAGCCATGTGGGACACCAAATCGTGCCCTGGCCACAGCACGGGGGTGTCGGTGGCACGGAAAGTGGCACCCCCGGGGCTCTCATCCTGCTGCCTGTAGAAGCCCCTTGTCGAAACTCAGCCCCGTCGCCACGGTCGGGCTTTGAAATAACGATAAGATCTTTGTTTTATATAAAAGATACACCACGACGTGGCTGTTTATACTGCAGCATACTCCCCTATCTCCCTGTGTCTGTCCGGGGGTCCCCGGGATGACATTTTTCATGCAGGAGAATTAGCCAAGTCCCCCCCTCCCGCACACACACAAAGCCACGTCTTAATGGAGATTTATTCTTTTAATATCCCAGAGGAAGGGGAAATTCCCAGTTAAAGCAACGTAAGGGTGTGAATTATTAATGGCAGTGGCGGGGGGGGGGGCGGCGGGCCGCCGCGAAAAAAAAAGACGGGGAAGGGACACCCGCAGCCCCTGTCCCTGGCTCAGCATCCCCAGCAGAGCCCAGGATCGCACCCGGGGCTCTGTCCTGGTGGCAGCTCCTCCAGGGCCATCTGTTCCTCACCCCTTGGTGTGAAATGTTTCTCCCTAAAGCATTTGTTCTCACGATGTGAGGCCCTTTTGATCTCGGCAGAGGACATTCTATTAAAAAATAGCAATAATAATACCCTGAAGACTTCCTTACTTTCAACTCCACTTTGCTAGCTGCTCTTAACTCTGCTCCCGGAGCCTCTTTGCGCTGAAGGTGTGAAGTGTTGGTGGGGGTCTCTGTCTGGGGACAAACCTTCCCCTTCAGGGACTATACTGTGGCCAGGTTGGGCTACTGCTGGCCTCTGAAAGCCTTTGATGCCTTGAAGTGGAGAAGAAGAGGGGAGGAAGCCTTCTGAGTTGCTCCAAACCTGTTTCACCCAGAAAAATCAGTCAGGGGTTACCCCTTCCCCAGGTCTCAGCAAACCCAGAGCAGGATGAGAGCAGGTAAATGGAAAGTTTGATCCAACTTCTACACCAAGGCAGCAAGGTGCCCGTGCACCTGCTTATAGAATCATAGAATTAGGCACTGACATCATCAAGGGAGTTGAGACAACTTAAACTGAGTGAATTATTTTCATGCCTGCTAAGTTTTTTCAAAGTTTTGACATGACCACACATTTAGGTGTCACTGAATTCCCTGGAGAGCCAGGCAAAAGCCTTGCAGCCATGGGCAGCTGCTGGGCAGGAGAATTTGCCACCCGTTGGCCAAATGTCCCCATTCCTGGGACACCCCCTGCCCTGTGGTGCTGGCAGCACGGTCAGGCTGGCTTCTGGGCATACATTTATATTTCTTTGGATCATAGATATTTATAGACAACTTATTTCCTTTGTATTTGTATCAAATGCATAGTTTATTTTTCAGGATTGATGCCGCATAGGTCACTGGGGTGTAAATCAGGGACCTCCGATGTGCTGTCTCCTCTCTGACCTCGGCTGTGATGCTCCTGCCTCATTACCTGGCCAGGGTCACCCCACGGAACTGTCCCCTCGGTCACCCCTCTGCCCCCTGGCCACCCAGTTCCACCAACACAGATATTTCATCCCCGATAGCTTCAGGGTTGCTTTAGCCTCTCAGGCAGGTGAAACGAGGTCTGGGGCAAAGGGCTTGGGTGGAATTGGAGAAACGAGTGTCCAAAGTGTTTCTTTGGAGGCCTCACCTATCCTCGCAGTGTACACGGCTCTGACAGCTCCATTTCAACCCCAGCCTTCACATGGGCTTGTTCAATATTTACTCAGGCTGATGGGTTTGCTCAGAACTTGCCTCGGTCAGCCTTGCTCTGTCGGGTTCCCTTCCCCTCGGGCTCAGGTTCACACAAAGTTCAGCCTGAAATGAATTCACCCCAAGATGGGCCCAGCTTGGCCTGAGGACCAGAGGTGGGGTCACGCCTGGGTCTCTGCATCCCAGCCAGCCCCTCAGCAAGGCCAGCACTCAGCACTCCCGGCCAGGAGGCTGCTTTGAAAAATTATTTGGGGTTAAAAAGAAAGAAAAAAAAAAGAAGCCTTGGGCCAGGGGAGGACACACCAAGAAAGGCAGGAGCTGCTTTTCAGCACAGAGAGCACAGGTCAGCCCTTCCGGGAGGG